TGTACCTACTCATCAGAAACATTGGGGTCAGCTAAGTGGACTTGTAACTCAGTTGTGTCAACATTGAGAACATTTTTCCATAGAGCTAATGGTGTGTGTGGTGACCAGATGGATTCAGCTGAATAACCAAGTGCTGAACAGCCAGAACGTGCCTAGCCATGAACATACCACACGAGAGCTAGTGCCTGTCCTCAGCAGCATGAAGGCTGGTGTTTGGCAGTGGGACTTCCACATCAGTAAAGGGATGTGTGAGGTATGGTGGGCGTCCAGGAGACCAGTGTGCTATGGGATTTTGGTGAGTGGACCTGAGAACCCCACTGTCACGCCCAACTCGCATAACCCCCACCCTGTTCTCTCCAGCTCCATAAGGCAGGCTTTGGGCAAGCCTGAGGGACAGTCAGAGGCTGGACCTGTCACCTGTACTGCATATGTCCCTTCCAGCACTTCAGGGTGGTGGGTGTCTACAGCCAGTGACAGCCCCTAGAGACTTTACCTTGTCCCTTGTGCAGATGCTCCTTCTGTTGTGGCTGTGTGCCCTTTCCTGCTCTGCCTGGGGGCTGATGGCATCACACCCAAGCCATGAGGCCTTTTTATGACTGCCTCTCTGTCAGTAGCTCCAAGTAAATTCTTTAGCTTCAAAGAGGCATGAGGGTCATGGGGAGTCACTACCAGTTCCTTCTGCCACACATGAATTCTGTTACAGACAATTAGAAGAGAATATTGTTTCTCCTCGACCAGGAAGTTCCCGGACCTCTCCAGGCAGTACTGGCAGGAGGTGGGACTGTGGTTGTGCTCAGACCCCTCACAGCTTCCAAGGCCCCGGAAGACTGCTCTGTGCCTCCCTGACCTGGAAGCTCATTTGCCTTCTGCAAGTTTGTAAATTGGATGCTGTGATTTGTGAAATTTATAGCAGAGTTCCTGCCGAGTGGTCTGGGACGAGTAACATCACAGTAGGCAGTTTGGCTGACTCTCAGGGTGAAAGCTGGCCTCTAAAAAGCTCAAGAGAAGCCGGGCTCGGTGGCTCAGCCTATAATCCCACGCCTAGGGAGGCTGAGGTGAGTGGATTACCTGAGCCCATGGGTTCGAGACCTGCTTGGGCAACTTGGCGAGACCTCAGCTCTACAATAAATCAAAAAATTAGCCGAGCGTGGTAGCAACCGCCTGTAGTTCTAGCTACTTGGAAGGCTGAGGTGGAAGGATCACTGGAGCCCAGCAGGTCGAGGCTGCGGTGTTCAGGAGTGGCCACTGCACTCCAGGCTGGGTGACAGAGTGAGACTCCAACTCAAAAAAAAAAAAAAAGCTCAGA